AATCAAAATGGTAAACCCAGCAGAAAATGTTTTTTTTTTTTTTTTTGATTTGCATTGCTTTGCATTGCATTGCCGTCCCGTCCCCTTTTCCCCCGCCCGCCCCCCGCTTCCCCCCTCGTTTGTAAACCCTGGTGGGGTTATTTGTCGGATTTATACAGCCTTCTTGCCTTTCTTGCACAACCTTTGCTCGTCAGTACGGAGGTTAGGACGGTGCAAGCCAAGAGGGACACTCAAGGAAAGTGAAAGTCGGGCCGTGAAGAAGCAGAAGGCTAAGGGAAAGTCCTGGAGGTCGGGATCCCTAAACAGCCAGGAGGGATCTGGAGTTGCTCCTACTCTCCCAGGTGACTTTTTAAGGAACTCTTCCCCCCCCCCCCGCCCCGCCTTCCGTGCTGCCCTGGCCCAATACACTCCTCTGTTCGCAGCAGAAAACTCTACACCCCCAGACAACCTTTGAGCTAAAGAGTGGACTTAAGCATAGTACATAAAATCATGTTACAACATCTTATCAGTTAATGAATATTTCAGCTTTAACCGCAACAACACAAGAGCACACAACAGATATAAACTCAATGTAAACCACTCCAAACTCGATTGCAGGAAGTACGATTTCAGCAACAGAGTGGTCAATGTCTGGAACTCACTACCTGATTCTGTGGTCACCTGCTCAAACCCCACACTCCTTTATCCTCAAACTAACCTCTATTGACTTCACCCCTTTCCCAGGAGGTCTGTAAGGGGCGTGCATAAGCGCACCATCGTGCCTACCGTCCCTGTCCTATTGTCCCCAATTATTAGTTCCTATTTTTTATATTGAAAGCTATGTTTATTCTTGTTTCTGTGATATTGTAAACTTTTGACAAAATAAATAAATAAAATAAATAAATATCCTTATTATGCAACATTTGCACTATTCCCCACTATCCTGCCAGAGCTGAAGAAGCCTCTGGGATCAGAAGTGAAACGTCTTCAAAAGAAATAATCAAGAAAGTCCAGTTGCCTCCTGGGGGAAAAAAAAAAAAAGCTTTGGGACTTGGATGACTGAGAATCTCTACCGACCCTATTTCCACCCTTTAGCCCAGGGCGGAGTCTCCAACCTGGGCAACTGTTAAACCTGGCGGACTTCAATTCCCAGAATTCCCCAGCCAGCTCTGCTTCTAAGGTTGGACACCCCTGATCTAGAGGGTTGGACAAAGCTGGCTGGGGAATTCTGGGAGTTGAAGTCCGCTTGGCTTAAAGTTGCCAAAGTTGGAGAGCCCTGTTGCCTTGACTCAGCTTCCGAGCGACCCCGGCGGCTTGGGTTCACACAACTCGCTGACCCCCCACAACCGGGAGCCTCATCCGTGGCGTGAACCCAGCCTGCCTGGCTACCTGCTTTCCCGAGGGAGGAGGAAGAGCGGGGGGCGGTTATCCCGCGATCCGACTCACCCGCTTGACCGAAGCGTGGGGTCGCGCTTAAGGCCACGGCTAAGAAGAGCCAACAGCCCCAAGGACCAAACTGCGCCATGGAGCTCCGACGGCTGGGCTTCCTCCTCCGCTTCGGCGCCGGGGCTGAAACAAAGCAGGAAAAGCAAGGCGATCGCGCGGGGAAGGGCTTGCGGGGAGAGTCCGACAGGGCCGGGCAGGGGAGGCGAGAAAGTCGGGGGCCACCAGGACGGTCCTCTTGCTCTCTTGCGCTCTCTGGGGCTTTTGGAGCAGCGGAGGCGTCTGGCCAAGGCTGGGGGCGAGGGGCGGGGAAGGGAAGCAGTAAACCGGCGAAACCGGTTCGAGGGACTCGGGTCGGGCAGGGCGCAGGAGGAGTCCTGGAGGGGGCGGGGGCTGCTGCGTTGTTTGGGGGTGTGTGTGTGTTTGTGTGTGTGTTTTCTCGGTTGGTTGCTTTCCTCGTCCTGCCGGGTGAGAAGCGCCTCTACTGCTGTTGCTGCCTGCCTGCTTGATCTGTCGTTCGACTGGCCGGCCGGCTGGAGGGACGGTTGGACGGACGGACAGCTGGGCGGCTGGACTGATGGATGAATGGACGGTTGGACGGACGGCTGGATGGACGGACGGACGGACGGAAGCTGGCCGGCTGGCCGGATGAACGGATGGATGGACGGTTGGATGGATGGATGGACGGACAGCTGAACGTCTGGCTGGCTGGCTGGCTGGACAGCTGGATGGATGGACGGATGGACAGATGGTTGGATGGACAGATGAACAGCTGGCTGGCTGGACTGTAGGACAGATGGACAGCTGGCTGGACACCTGGCCGGATGGATAGACAGATGGACAACTGGGTGGCTGGATGGATAGATAGATGGATGGATGGATGGACAGCTGGGTGACTAGATGGATGGATGGCCAACTGGATGCCCAGCTGGGCAGCTGGCTGGACAGCTGGACAGATGGCTGGCTGGCTGGCTGGGTGGATGGACAGATGGATAGACAGCTGGGTGGCTGGATGGATGGACAGATGGATGGATGGACAGCTGGATGGACGGATGGACAGCTGGGTGGTTGGATGGCCAGCTGGCCAGATGGATGTACGGACGGGTGGACAGATGGATGGATGGATTGACAACTGGATGGATGGATGGATGGACAGTTGGGCGGCTGGCTGGCTGGATGGATGGGCGGCTGGGTGGATGGATGGATGGACAGCTGGCCAGATAGATGGATGAATAGCTGGCTGGCTGGATGGCTACCTACTGCGGCTCACTGAACTCCGAGTCCGGAATTGTTGACCACAATCCCCCCACAGCTTCATTCTAACTGCTGCCCGGCGCTTCCGGACGCCTCGTGAGGCGTTACCATTGCCTGGTGGGTCAGTTGCTCCCCGCTGCCCTTCCCTTGCCCTGCCACTAGAGGGGGGCCACTGGCCCAGGCGAAGTCTGGGCAGACGATGGGATACTCTGCTGGGGATTGCGTGTAATGGTGAAAAGGTTGCACTAGAAGGCGGCAAGTTCTGATTCTCCCATAGGTGTGAAATCCAACTGGGTGACTTTGGGCCAATCACCAAAGGTCCGTAAGTTCTAGTTGGGTACAAAAGCCGACTGAGTGACTTTGGGTCAGTTACTCTCTCTCAGTCCAACTCTCCTCACGGGGTTGTTGTGGAGAAAGTAGGAGGAGGGAACATTATGATGTCCACCACTGAGTTGTATAGGAGAAATACAAGATGCACACAATAATAATGGCAAACTGGACAACTGGTGATCACTTCAGAGACACTAGTTTCATTACCAGATTCCTCCCTGCCTTCAACAATGGCAGAGATTCTAATCTACTGAAAATGTAAAAAGTTACAGATGCAGCATTCACTTCACTAACGTTTCACTTAGCAACGTAAATTTTTGGCTCGGTTGTAGTCGTAACTTGAGGGCTGCCTGTCTATGACTAAGAGAGATTGAGAGAGAGAGAGAGGCCAGAGAGGAGCTGCTGGAATTGAGAAAAGAGGGGAAAATGGTTATCGAAAACATTGCGGTTTCTCAAGGTGAAGTAATTTAAACCCAGACTTCTTGTCTCTGGGAATTTCCACCAGCCTAGAGAAGTTGCAAATTTGCACAACCCGGTCTTCTTCCCCCATTTCTGCTGGCACAAACATTGCACAGCATGTAAGGTTGTAGGTTTTCTCTGTAAGGCCTTCAGAAAAGATAAGTGAGGAGAAAACAAAAGTGATGGCTGCACTTCACACAACAAAGGCTTATGATTTTTGAGGATTTATTTTATTTTTTATTCTCTTTTTGCTTTTGAATTGGGACTCTGGTGAAGAGACCAGACCAAATTCTGGCCCAATGAAACACAATTTAGGGGACCCTGAGCCTCAGTCTGCAATCTAAAAATAATTAAAATGAGAAATTTCTGTGCCGGATGCCAGGGTTCTTAACAACTGCCTCGCCACAGAAAAGTCAACCACTTCCTTGTTTTGACCAGAGAGACAAAGAAGAGGGTGTGTGTGTGTGTGTGTGTGTGTGTGTGTGTGTGTGACTTATTATGAAATCCCTGCTGGGAAAATGGTGAAGAAGAAGAGAAATGTTTGAAGTCATGTTCAACTCCTGGGGATTTCAGGACAAATCTGCTATATCCTGTTTTCTTGGCCTTGGGTTTTATTATTGCCTCCCGGGAAGCTTTCACCTTTCCATATTTGATTTTTTAAACCTTACTGTCTTTTCTCATGGTTGCCCATCCAGCTAAAAACCGGTGGAATATTGCTTAGGTTTTTATATCAGCCAAACTTTGTTGTCGTGATTATAGTTATTACCGTAAATTAATAAAATCAGTCCCGCGCCATTTGATTTTTATTCTACCTTTATTCTTCTCAGTAATCCAGGTCATATAATCATCGCAAAATTGCTTTTTTTTTAATCAAAGGGCAACTGGACTGTTTTTTATTTGAATAGAAATAAAAAACAAAAACAAAAAACAGTCCAGTTGTCTTTTGAAAAACAGCACCTTTGAGATACTTCTGTTCTTGTTTACAAATAGTGCCAACATACCTAATACTGGTATTCCGTTCTCCTCTTTTTCCCAGGACAACAACTCTGTGAGATAATTGGGGCTATGATGTCTTTGGTTTTGGCTTTGTAGCAGGGTTGTCTGCAAAATACAATTAAAAAAAAAATCAAAATGGCTGTGATGATGAGATCAAAGTGAGCAGAGCTTTAATTGCATTGTGGCTGCCTCCATCTTGAATTTTGCATGCATGATATGTTAAAAACACATGGGGCTTTGATTGCCTCATCGTATCTATCATCTTGAGTTTTCGTATTATGTCTTGCAGATCCTCTAGCTTTGTACCGCTGGAGAAATCCTGGGGAATGAGCCAATTTGGTGTAGTGGTTCAGGTGCTGGCCTAAAAACCAGGAGACTGGGAATTCTAGTCTCATCTTGAGCATGAAAGCCAGCTGGGTGACTTTGGGCCAATCACCAGGAGACAGTAAGTTCTAGTTTTGCCTTAGTTATAAAAGCCGACTGGGTGACTTTGAGGCAATCACTGGGAGCCTCTGAGTTCTAGTTTCACCTTAGTTATGAAAGTCAGCTCTGTGACTTTGGGCCGCTTACTCTCTCTGAGCCGAACCCACCTTACAGGGTTGTTGTGAGAAAATAGGAGAATGAAGGAACATTATGTATGTTTGCCATCTTGAGCTACATGTAGTAATAAAGGCAGTATAAAAAAAACCAAATAAATAAGCAGATGGATAGATAGATAGATAGATAGATAGATAGATAGATAGATAGATAGATAGATAATAGATAGATAGACAGACAGAAATAGATGATAGAGACAGACAGATAGAGATAGATTATAGAGAGGTAGATAGATGAATAGAGATAGATGAGATAGAGATAGAGACAGAGATAGAAATAGATGATAGACAGACAGACAGAGACAGACAGATACATACAGTAGATAGGAGAGAGATAGATAGACATAGAGACAGACAGATAGAGACAGATAGAGATGGACAGACAGACAGACAGATAGACAGATAGACAGATGGATAGAGATGATAGAGAGATAGAGACAGAGATAGATGATAGACAGACAGACAGATAGATGACAGACAGATACATACAGTAGATAGATGAGAGAGAGAGAGAGAGAGAGAGAGACCAAGAGAGAGAGAGAGAGAGAGAGAGAGACCAAGAGAGACAGACAGACAGACAGAGAGACAGGTTTATCAGCTTCACTAAACATTTCAGAGCTTTGTCCAAGAATGCTCGCTTTCTGCTTTGGTTCAAGAAGCATCTGCCTACCATTTGTCATACGAGGAAGTGCACACGGTATTCTATTAAAACACAAAGCGGTTTGAGACTGGATCTTTGAGAACAAGTTGACTCAACTCTCTGGATTTTGCCATAGGTGGGGAATTTTGGAGGTCAAAGTCTACGCATCTTAAAAGTTGCCAAGTTTAAAAAAAAAAAAAACAGACTTCAGTTAGATGGGAGAAAGGTGCAGTGTCCACCTGACTCAAAGAAAAATATAAGAATCTCTTCCCGGTTGAGCCAAGTGCCTGGAAAATAGTATAGATTCCTCCCGTATTCCCCTCGGCGTCTCTCCCAGCCACCCTGCTTGTTTTTTTTAAACTTAGCAAAGGTTTTTTTTTTTTGCCTTTGATCATTTCACATCAAAAATACGGCACAGCTAGGCAAAGGATCAAATGCATGTTTTAAAAAAAACAGAGTAAAATCCGCAAAGGATATATGGCTGTACAGTAGGTTGGTGTGTGCATCTATAAAGATAAAAATCTAGATAGATGTAGATTCGTGTCTGTGTTTGTGTGTGGGGGTTTATGCATGCTTCAGATAATCTTGCCTCCTGATAACTGCCTAGACAAGTCCCTGCAGGGGGTTTTTTGGCAGTTGATTTGCCATTGCCTCCTTCTTAGGCTTGAGAGGGGGTGACTGGCCCAACGTCACTCACCTATCTTTGGACTCAAAGAACTAGAATTCAGGATCTCCCAGTTTCTAGCCTGGAGTCAAATTGGTGTGCAGGTATTTCTTGCCATACTGTAATTTCAGATTTTCAAAGTCAGTTCCCCCAAATACTACCAAGGATAGATACATTACACCAAGAATTATGGCAATGTTGTATGATTATGTGTGAATGGGGCTTATTCAGCAAACCATGGTAACCCTAACAATGGTTTGTCGCTGCATATGAAGCCGGCTGCTGCTCATTCACACACGATAAATATAATCAAAAGGGAGCAGACAATCTAATAGAGTAGTCCTTGAATTACGGCCATAATTGAGCCTAAAATGTATGTTGTCTAGTGAGACCTATTCAGTGAGTTTTGCTCTATTTTATGACCTTTCTCTCTAGGGTTCTTAAGTGAATCACTGCAGTTGTTAAAGTAGTAACATGGTTGTTAAGTGAATCTCGCTTCCCCATTGGCTGTGCTTGTCAGAAGGTCGCGAAAGGGGATCATATGATCCCGGGACACGGCAACCATCATAAATATGAGTCAGAATTTTGATCATGTGACCATGGGGATGCCCCAATGGTCACAAGTGTGAAAAATGGTCACAAGTCACTTTTTTTCAGTGCCGTTGTAACTTTGAACAGTCACTGAGTGAACTGTTGTAAGTCAAGGACTACCTGTATAATTATGTGTAAATCAGAGGTGGTATTCAGCCAGTTCTGACCAGTTCTGGAGAACTGGTAGTGGAAATTTTGAGTAATTCAGAGAACTGGCAAATACCACCTCTGACTGGCCCCACCCGCATCTCTTCGCTGCCTCCCATTGAGTCCCAGCTGATCAGCTGGGTCTCCTTTGGTTGCCCTGCACAGGAGAATGGAGCTGGAAAGCAGGTTAATGGGGTACAGATATGGTATTCAGCAGGTTCTGAGAGGTTCTGGAGAACCGGTAGTGTAAATTTTGAATAGTGCGGAGAACCGGCAAATACTGCCCGAGTGGCCCTGCCCCCAACTATTCTCTGCCTCCTGAGTTCCAGCTGATTGGCTGGGTCTTCATTTGTTGCCCTGCACAGGAGAACGGAGCTGGAAAGCAGGTTAGTGGGGTGGGGTGGGGAATGGGGATTTTGTAGTATCCTTCCCCTGCCACACCCACCAATCCACGCCCACCAGGCCACACCCACAGAACCAGTAGTAAAAAAATTTGAATCCCACCACTGATACACTGGAGCAAGAATGGACAAGTGATGATGTAGCAACAGAGGTGGTATTCAGCAGGTTCTGACCAGTTCTGGAGAACCGGTAGCGGAAATTTTGAGTAGTTTGGAGAAATGGCAAATGCTACCTCTGACTGGAGATTTTACAGTATCCTTCCCCTGCCACGCCCACAGAACCGGTAGTAAAAAAATTTGAATCCCAGTGGTGTAAAATGGTGGCTTATTCAGCAAACCATGGCTTATCAGTGGCTTATCACTTGCATGTAAAGTCAGTTGCTCCTCATTCACAAAGAATGAACAATATAACCAAAAGAGAGCAGAAAATATATCTATGATATGGCAGTCTTTCTGTCTAATGTGACAGTCCATTTGGGCATTATGAAAGTGTTAAAATAGCTTTGGTTTTGGTAGCTGTGGTAAATCAGCTCCAGATATTAACTCCAGGCTAGTTGGCTAGCAAAAACAAACTGGGTTTGTTTAAAATATCATTAGCTTTACAGTGTCAAGGATCAACCAGAGGCAGGTTGGAGGATAGAATCCTATGCCCATCACCATTAACCATTATCATTTAAGATGGTCCCATAGCTCACTTTTCCAATTTAAGATTGCATTCCCAAGTGCTTCTTGCAATAACAAACAGAACAATCCGTTTAAGATGTCTTAATAAACAACATGCTTTGGGGTTTTTTGGGTTTGGTTTTTTTTGGAGTTAGCGAAAAGCCACATTAAAAAAAAACCCCAAGAACACAATTCCATAAAAACGGCACTTAATCCCATTCATTTGAACTGCTGTTCTATCGAACCAGACTTCTGTGAGGGCAAACCAGGAGTTGTAACCTAGCACTTACAATTTAATTTAAAAAAAAAGAGCGTTGGCTGCCTTCGCCAAGGAAGAAATAGAAATAGAAGCCTTCTGCCCAAGGACATCACCCATTACCTTCTTTCAAGAGATGGTCACGGAACAACAGCGAGGAAGATGGAGAGGGTTGGTTAAATAGTAGTAGTAAATACTGTTAGGGAGATGGCTTTAGACCCCGGTTTTTTGAATAACTTATCGAACCTGCTTGCAACAGAGTCGACAGTCAGGAAGAATGTTGGTACCACCAGTGGTGGGATTCAACTTTTTTTTACCACCGGTTCTGTGGGTGTGGCTTGGTGGGCACCCTTTGTGTGCATGCAAAGGGTTTGATACTGACCTCCTGCAATCCTCTCCCTGTGTGTTCAACAGCTGACACGCGGAAGAGCCTCTGTGGCACAGTGGTTAGAGTGCAGGCTACTTCTGCTGACTGTCAGCTGCCTACAATTTGGCTCAAGGTTGACTCAGCCTTCCATCCTTCCAAGGTGGGTAAAATGAGGACCCAGATTGTTGGGGGAAATGTGCTGACTCTGTAAACCACTTAGAGATGGCTATAAATCACTATAAAGCAGTATATAAGTCTAAGTGCTATTGCTATTGGTATTCTGCTGTGCCGTGCCCAGCAGCTGATCATCGGAGCGAACTGGTTCGCTCACAGATGATTCTTGAAGCTACCGGTTCGGCCAAACCAGTAGAACACCACCCCTGGGTAGCACCATGAACGATGAGGATTCATAGCAGAGCCAGAAACTGGCTCTTGTTACAAGGTAGATTTTGGATCCTTGTGAAATTTAAAAAAACCCAAACAAGATATTTGTAGATTGCCGTAATCAGAAGAAAGGAAAAAAACAAATCCTGACCTGACCTCTTAGGAAGGGAAGAGAGACCATCCATCAGTGACCACAGATCATGACCATAGAGGTTCCTGCAGCATCTCCCGTTGTCTTTCAGAAACTCTGAGCTTCGATGACATCACAGAGCCAATGTGGGGTGGGTTGCCAGTGAGGGCTTGTGACTAGAAGTGGTCAGTTGCTGATGACCACAGTGTGGTCATCATAAATTAAATGTGTGGCTCAAGAGACCACAGGATGGCCTGTGTAACGGATGCCGCTGGAGGAAAACAATGAACAAATTCTTTTGCTCTTTCTTTCTTTTTTATAGTCAACTATATCCTGTTAGTTTCGTACTTCCTGTAGAACAGCACAGTGAGAGAAGGAAGTTGCGCATTGGGTTTTTTTCAGGAGATGGGGGGACTCTGATCTGCTAAAAGACACATCTATTGTGCCTCAGTACAAACCTAGATATGTCAGTTTTCATTATGGATTCATCAACAAAGGGCGATACGTGGCTGGTCTTGGCTGATCTCAAAGGTTTCTCATGGAGAGCATGTGGAGAGGGGAGCACAGGCAGCCCATGGGAGGATTGGGTGGGACGAAATGTCAAGAAGGCAGATCAGTTGCCACCTATTTTGACTTTTTGTTGGACCAGCTGGAAAACCCACAGTTGTATTTCCTGGAATGAGGAAGTGGACAGGGTCCTCACGGTGCGAGTTCAGCTCATTGTTAAATCTTGTCAACTTTCAGATGTGTGGACTTCATCTCCCAGGATTCCCTTGCAGGCTGGCTGGGGAATTCTGGGAGTGGAAGCCCATCCATCTAAGTTAATTTTTAACAACCGGTTCTGTGGGTGTGGCTTAGGTGGTGGGTGTGGCTTGGTGATCATCTGACTGGGTGGACATGGCTTGGTGGTCATGTTATTGGCTGGGCGTGGCCAACTCAACATCACTCACATCGAGACACGCATCTCCTCGCCTGGCCTCTCATGACTGTGGGGATGCTGCAACAGTCGTAAGTATGAAAAATGGTCATAAGTCACTTTTTTCAGTGCCATTGTAACTTTGAATAGTTACTCCACACAAGCAAAGTACCAGAAAAGGAGGGGGAAAAAAACTCCAGAGAAGTTCCTGAGACAGGAAGTCTAGTCCTGCCAAGAATGTAATAAGGGTTAACGGAGAGGCAGTTTCTGTAAGCAACACCAGAATGTTTCCTTCCTGCCTTCCTTACAGGATTAGGCCAGTAATTTCTTCTAACAACCGGTTCTCCAACCTGCTTAGAATGTTAACAACCGGTTCTAGCGAATAGGTGTGAACTGGTAAAATCCCACCCCTGGTCCTCCATCACTGGAGAATTTTAAGAAGAGTTTGAACAATTATTTGTCTGAAATGGTATAGGGCTTCCTGCTTGTGCAGCGGGTTGGACTAGAAGTTCTCTAAGGTCCCTTCCAACTCTGTGATCCTATATCCTTCTGGATCAACTCAGAGCATTGGGGTGGGCAAACATGATCTTTTCTAGTCTAATTGTAGACTTCCCAAGTCACTTCTTTGTTAAGGTAGGCAGCCATATAAATTTAACAAAAATTAAATAAAAATAAATAAAATGAATTGACACTTCTGATTATCTGGCAGGGCCCTGAGGTGTGAGTTGATTTACCACCCCATTTCAAAGAGAACTGAGGAGTTTCACACAGCCAAACATCAGTGAGAATTTAAAGGCAGTTAAAAGAATCTCATTAAGAGGAACCAAAATTTCCCAGGCTGGGAAAGTAGCATCTAAACTGAGATGGGGGAAAAAAATCCCTTTGCTTTCAAGAAAAAAGGACCGGTTTCCCCCCGCCCCCTGCTTTTTAAGTTCTGAGAAACAGTGAGACACAATGAAAATGCTCCGTTTAGTATAAGGTTAGCAAATATTTGATTTTTTATTTTTTTTTGAAAATGCAGACTTTCTTGTCAATGGAAAATTTTTGATAAATTAACCCCAAGAGCTTCCTTGGCCTTATTTACATATTATTATAATATGATTTCAGATTTGGGCCTAGCGCAACGGCTGAAGCCCTTTAAAATTTTAGCAATGGGTCCTCTGCCTGGTTGCTGGGTGGGTGGGGCCATGGTGGGCGTGGCCTAGTCAGCCTCCTGCACCATGTGGGGGGGATGTTTGCCCTCCCCGGGCTCCGGAGGCTTTCCTCGAGCCTCCTGGAAGGCGAAAACAGCCTCCCCAGGTTCCAGAGGCTCCCTATAAGCCGGAAACGGGCCAATTTCCGGCCTTCCCAAACTTCTGGGCGGCTCGTTTTTTGCCCTCCCCGAGCCTCCTCATGGGCCCTGCACTTGCCTGCAACCAAAATGGGCGGTGTGGGGACTTCTGGGAGGGGCGGGCGAGGCCAGCCAGGAATGGGATTTGGAGGTTCTCCGAACTGCACAGAATCTTAGCTAGGGGCTCTCCTGAACCCCTGTGAATCCCAAGCAGCCCACCCCCCGTTTATAGCTCAGTATGCTGCTGAAACACAATGAATTGTGGTCATTTAATAAACCATAGTTAAATCAGGACCTAGCCCAATATGCTATGCAAACCCTCAAGCTTAGCTCACTTACATCTGGTGGTAAAATGTTTTTTCTTCTGCTTCAGCTGTGATTGTTCACTATCTGTTGTTCCTCTGCTTGTTTGTCTGTCTGTCCATCCATCCATCCAATTTATATGGCGCCCACCCCAACAAGTGACTCTGGGTGGTGAGCAGAATTAAAAGAAAAGCAACTACAAACACCACAAAATATAAAGCAGTTGAGAAACCTCAAATCCAAACATTAACACAACCAAGAAATGGCTCCTGCACACACACATCTGGTTGTACAGATAGCCCTTGACTTAATGACCACAATTCAGCCCAGATTTTATGTTGCTAAGTGAGAAATTTGCCAAGTGAGCTTAGTCATTTTACAGCTTCTTTCGCCACATTTGGTAAGCGAATCCCTGCAGTTGTTAAGTTAGTAACATGGTTGTTAAGTGAATCTGGCTTCCCCATGCACTTTGCTCATTAGAGGGTCGCAAAAGGGGATCACGTGACCCCCCCAAGGCACTGCAACCGTCATAAATATGAGACAATTGCCAAGCATCTGAATGTACATCACAGGACCCTAGGGATGCTGCAATGGTCATAAATATGAAAAAATGGTCTTTTGTTTAGTGCCGCTGTCACTTAAAACGGTCACTAAATGAACTCCATGTAAGTTGAGGGCTACCTGTAGTACATATTGTTTTTAACTTGCCCAGCTCAAGACTGCTGGGGGTTAATATCTCACAATGGAATTGCCCCTGAGAAACATCTGCAAACTTCAAAGGGCCCAGAATGCAGCGGTGCTCCATGTGTTAATGGCCAGTTGTGATACTCCCACTTACTGATTACCAGTATATTTCTAAGTGCAGTGCAAAATACTGATTGCAACAGTTCCCAAGAGTTGGGAATTCATAGCATCCCAATCCTGGTTGAGGAACAATTCTCAGGCATCCATTAGCCTCCATTGTCACTCAGATCTCAAGATCATTTATTTATTTATTTATTTTGTTTGTCAAGCATGTGTGAGAAAACAAGTATAATGTGATGACCTGGGGTGTGGCACAAAAATAACAAAGTCACCAAAGTAGATAAATTCCCTTCAATGCCTCCAACTTGGCTCCCAATGTCCAATTATCCTCCAGAGATCAAGCTCTTCCAAAAACAGTCTACAAAGGGAAGAAATTGCAGCCCAAAATACAGATAAAGTAGAAATTAAAAAACCAACACAAACCACACTGAAGTAATTAACACGACAGGTCAGGGTAATAACTTGCAGACTTCCAAAAGATAACGAGGCACACACAGTTGGGAGGATGCCAAAACCCAGATAAGCCTCGACGAAGATAATGCATGCTTTGCTTCCAGCAGCTTTGCCATGCACAGTTTGCCCTTTTAAATAGTCTTTCCAGCTGCAGCCCATGAAGGGGATCAGGGCCCTTTCCTCTCCCATAAACCATGCTGCTCCTTTATCCGTTCCTCCCTGCATGCCCTAGGATGAAGAGGGGGTGGGCCTGGGTCTTCCTCTGAATGCCCAGCTGGCCTGTGCCCTTCCCCAGTTTCCTCCACAGCCACCGGAGCCACACTCCCACTCCCTGTCAGCTGTTCCACCTCTCCCTTGGAATCAGATCCCAACTGGAGCATGACATATACATTTGAACATAACATATAAACATATAAGTATAAACAGGTATAAGTATATGCATAATAAATGAGTATGCATAAATGGGAACAGTGGGACAGAGACGGGAGGCACGCTGGTGCACTTATGCACGCCCCTTTAAAGATCTCTTAGGAATGGAGTGAGGTCCATGGTAGACAGTTTAAGGTTAAAGTTTTGGGGGTTTGAGGATGTAACAACAGAGTCAGGTAGTGAGTTCCAGGCATTGACCACTCTGTTGCTGAAGTCCTATTTTCTGCAATCGTGTTTGGAGCGGTTTATTTTCAGTTTGTACCTATTGTTTGCCCGTGTGTTATTGCAGTTGAAGCTGAAGTAGTCATTGACAGGTAGGATGTTGTAGCAGACAATTTTGTGTACTAAGCTTAGGTCAGACCATAAGCGGCGTAGTTCTAGGTTGTCCAAGTCCAAAATTTTAAGCCTGGTAGCATAAGGTATTCTAATCATTAGTGTCTTCTCTGTTTTCAGACGTTCTTGTATATCTGGCTAATTTAGAAACTGCAGGACAATCACCAAAGCAGGAGGTACACTAAAGGAAGGTGCCAGGGCTGAGATAAATAGTATTCACAAGTACTAAAATTGTCCCATTTAATCGTTTACAGCATCAGTGGGTCCTTTCTAATTCAACCATGGTGAACCCAGAGTGGTGAAGATGGTGTTGCATGGAGCTGGGCTCACAAAGGAGTTGTATAGCCCTTCAACCTGGCTCTCTTCCTCCCAACTTGAAGTTGCTAATCTCAGGCAGCAAAGGGAAGGTTCGATATTAATGATGATTAAGTGTCTAGCAGGTTATTGGGTGCTTGCCAGGATAAGAAAGGGAAATAATTATCTAAATGGGATTACAGCAGAAGGTTTGTTATCTTGCAGCTCTTGAAAGAAAATAGAGCAGCTCTCTCTCTCCCTCCCTCCCTCCCTCTCCCAGATGTTGATTCAAAAATGTGGGTCATTTGCCCTAGACATAAATATTGACAGACACAAAATTCTCTAGAGCAGGGGTGTCCAACCCTGGAAACCAGAGGTGGGATTCAGCAGGTTCTGACCACTTCTGGAGAACCAGTAGTGGAAATTTTGAGTAGTTTGGAAACGGGCAAAACCCACCTCTGACTGGCCCCACCCCCATCTATTCTCCACCTCCCGAGTCCCAGCTGATTGGCTGGGTCTTCTTTGGTTGCCCTGCATAGGAGAAGGGAGGTGGAAAGCAGGTTAGTGGGATGGCGAGGGAATGGCCATTTTGCAGTCTCCTTCCCCTGGAGTCAGGTGGGAATGGAGATTTTGTGGTATCCTTCCCCTGCCACGCCCACCAAGCCATGCCCACAGAACCGGTAGTAAAATTTTTTGAATCCTACCACTTCTGGAAACTTTTAAGACTTGTGGACATCAACTCCCAGAATACCCC